GATAAACGACATAAATAGGGCATTAATGACTGCCTCTTGAACCGAACAATCGGATACATGTGGGTAAAACAAAAAAACATGCCAAATACAAGCAATTTCGACACAAGGATAGCAAGTGAAAATAAACTTTCGGTGCAATACAACTAAACATTTTCTAAATAATGTCCATCACCCAAACACCAGCATTCAAAATGAATTTGGCTCTAAAGTCTGGATAGTTGTCATATGATGAAGGCAGTTCCAGTAAATTGGAGCAGGTATGTGCTACTGGACGACGGCCTATACCAGACAGCTTGACAAATGACAAATGTTCTCTGCACGTAATAAGCTCGGTTATTAAGCATCCTTTTTTGGGGATGCCCGGTGGCCGAGGGGAAGACGTGTAGTGGCGTGAAGCTAGGCGATTTGGTGCCGTACGCGAGCGCCGGTTCGAGTCACGCACGAAGTACGTATTTACTATAATTAGACATAGTCTTTACCTTGCCGTTTATTCGGTGTTATTTGCTTACTTTACTTCCTATGTCGACAGCAACTATGAGTTTAAAATTATTTCTCAGTACTTATTCACTGTTACAATGCTGTACCATTACTTTCACCATCCTACTACAGCCAGATCTGAAGGCCTTTGCCGCATTCTGGCCATGCTGTGTGGCGCGTATCGCGTGGACGGGTTTCATGTTCTCTGCACGTAATAAGCTCGGTTATTAAGCATCCTTTTTTGGGGATGCCCGGTGGCCGAGGGGAAGACGTGTAGTGGCGTGAAGCTAGGCGATTTGGTGCCGTACGCGAGCGCTGGTTCGAGTCACGCACGCAGTACGTATTTACTATAATTAGACATAGTCTTTAAAGAACCTTGCCGTTTATTCGGTGTTATTTGCTTACTTTACTTCCTATGTCGACAGCAACTATGAGTTTAAAATACCATCCCCCTTGAATCTTTGGAGTTCAGAATATACTTGATGAATTCAACACACCTCTGTGTTAACCTTTCACATTTCACAAAATAGTCCCATTTATATTCTGCATTTCCGTCAGAAAAGTAGGACAAAAATAGCCAATTTTTTTAAATAAAAACTGAAAATTGACTCAGATCGAAGAATGTAAGAAAAAAGTACAGAAAATTTGGGCCAGAAAGTCTGGTGATGATAAGTCACACATAAAGTACTTATAGGCACATGCAAAGCATGAATGGAATCAGTCCAAAGGATTCTGAAATATGACTGCGAACGGACGAAGACCGAATTATAAGTCCCTGTTTTCAAAGTTTGTTCGAACAGGGACTGTAAAGGTTAAGGCTGACACAATATTTGAGAAATGAGATGTGTTTACATTGCAATAATCAATAACAATGCAGTGACTGTAGTTCAAGGTAAACCACATTACACCATGGCTACAAACAATAGGCATGTGACCTAATTCTTGGCCGAAATTCACTTCATATTTTTAGGTTTACAATAGACAATGACAAGAACTGATGCTGGGAATAGATTTGTATATTCTGTTGTCAGATTGTGAGTACAAACTATAGGAATGTCAATGGGATGAGGATGGATGGGGGTGAGGATCAACGGTCAGAACTCTGCCTTGTACATATATGCGAACCTATGAGAAGACATGTTCAACCTTGATACAAGTATACAAAATTTCGACCAATGAACGCTTATTTTGTCAAGTTCACATGAATCCTACCAAGGCTATATAAGGCCAACTTGTATCATGTTGCTTGATACTTCTTTACCATTCCAATCTGTGTTCATCTTTTGTTGTGAAATACAATATGTAGTTAGTATACTCATCCAAATTACACTATATTGTTTAGTCTGACACAGCACCCTCTGTCATCATCCAAATATCCCGAACCCCTCTACTCGTTTCCCACAGAAATCATTGTGTCTCTGGAAACATATGAATAAATATTTTGATATCAAACCTGTTCAAGTTGATATGGAACTTCTTCTGGTAAATATTCCAATAGTTTGGAACGGACAATTTCATAGATGACCGTTTCCGGTCCTTGGTCTGTAAAGAGATCCGGGTGATATTCCCACTCACCAGGTCTGGCTTGTGTAAATAAATAGTCCTGGAAAATGAACAAGTTTGTGTCATGTTTATTATTTGTTTGCAATATGCAGATTAAGTTAAAATACTACCTGATTGGTTAAGATGAATCAATGAATACATCACAAGAATTTTCTTGGATGTAAAAAAATAAATACTACTTTGTGTAGTAGCAAATGAATTCATTATGATGGACAATGGAGACATTGGACAAAACTTATTCAGAGTTAAAATGAAAACAATTGAATCAATCAATCTGCACTCATTAGATGACATAGTCCCTGTCAATAATTCAAGTACTTGATGTTTTAAGAACCACCTACAATCTCTGAGATTAATTTTAAAAATAAAGCATCAAGACAGTAATGTTGATTCAGAAGAACAGGAACAAAATGGCCACCAGATGGCCATCTTGAAATGGATCAGCATGCAAAATATATGGTCACCATAGCAAGTTTCAATGAAAATTTGTCCAGTCATTTGAACTGGTTGCGAACACACTTAATATTGGAATTTAACAATTCTTTCACCAACAGGAATGAATGCTTCCATAATAATCATGAAATTTCTTCTTAGAACACATATAAAAAAATCAATATTCTATTTACATATGGCCTGCCCTCTAGTGGCTAGAAAGGGGAATAAATACCTGTAAATCATCGATACCATCATTGAACAGGGCAGATATCATAAACACACCATCAAAATTTGGCCATCCAGTCTTTCGTAAAAGCTGCTTCTTTGTCCTTCGTTTCTGTTCCAATTTTAGTTGATGTTTAATCCACTTTAAATCTTTATCACTTAATCCCTTGGAACGCAAAACATCGTCACTCAAATCAGAGTGTCTAAGAATGGCCTCAACTCCTTGGAAATCATTTGCATCTTTACAGTCCACAGATTCATCAGCAAAAGAATCGTGTAATTTGCAGTCTGTATTTTCATCAAACATTTCTCCCCCCATATTTGAATGCTCTGTGTCCCTGACGTTTTCATGTGATTCAGACAGCCTGTCCCCTGATTTCACAATCACGCTAGCTTGTTTTTGTGTTTTGTCTTCCAAAACGGCCTCGCCAGTAAACAATCCTTGACTCTCATATCCCACCATGTCCTCACCACGATTTAGTTTGCTGTCAACAGAAGGTGACATTTGATTTGTTTTTTTAGTACTAAAATTCTGCATCCACAGATCCTTAATTTCAGTAGACTTATCATGACTTATCACCTCATTGGGTTGCCCATCAGAATCCTGCAACTCTTGTCTCTTCTTCCACTGCTCTACAATTGCCTCAATCCTTCTTTTGTCTATGCCACTTTGACTTATTTTCTCAAGTTCAAGTTTTCGTTTGCGGTCTTTTTCAAGTCTGTTGATCATTTTGTGCATAACTGATACGTAATCTGCTTTCATGCTGCTGCCGGACTCCACAGAGCCAAGACGCTTGGCAATAACAGCATCAATCTCAAAACTTTTACCATTCACAATTCCTTCAGTGAGCTGAGCTGTTATACTAAGTAATAAATTCTTTTTTTGTACTGTGTCAATCTGGATGTAATTAAAACAAAATGGATGTGATTACCCTGGGTTATTTAGTTGAAGACAGCATTGCATCTTTGACTCCACTCTAATCTTAATCTGAGGCAGCATTTTATTCCAACTGTCTTTATCACAACATAAATTCATTAAATGACCCGTATGAATGCAATAAACTCTCAGTAATGGCCATAAATATTTATTTTACACTTTTCATAAAATGGAAATAATTACAGATGAAACAACTCTTTTATTGTTCATCCACCCAACCCAATTTTTCTGTCTTACAACTTTTGATGCCAAGAATTCAGTGGTGTATCTTTAACCTTTTCACCACTAGACTTTCTTGCCCCAATTTTTTCTGCATTTTTTTCTTACATTCTTCAATATATTTAAAAATAATCCTAATTTTAGACCCAACAGACAAAATTTGAGTCAATTTTCAGATTTTTACTCCAAAAATGTGTCTATTTTTTTGTTTCTGAAGGAAAGTGCAGACTATAAACAAGACTATTATGTGAATTTGTGATGAAAAGAGCGAACTGGTGGTGAAAAGGTTAATTGAACAAAATGCAGCTGGCATATAATGCTCATAAAAAATTCATTGTCATAACAAAGACACTCACTCACCTTGTTAAGAACTAGAAGTGATTTGACATTAGGATAAGAATTGAGAGTCATTATGATATCAGAATCCAGTTTAAACCGTGTCCATTTATTAGAGACATCAACCAGCACCATGACTACGGGTACAAATGAAATTACTGGATACTATATTTTTTCCTACAAACACTACTTTATATTTATTAAGAAACTTTTAGTTCAAAATCGTTATTTATATTCTATTTGTACTAGGTCACCTAGACAAAATAGACAACTTACCCAGGTCACCTAGACAAAGTAGATGACTTACCTATGTCAGCTTCTTCAAAAACATTTCTTGGATCAACCACCATAGATCGTCCTAACTGATGTCTGCAACAGAAATAGGTAACCATGGTAACATGATGATATATTTTCTTCTACATGTGTATATTTACCAGTATTCAAAGATACGGAACTAAAAATAGGATCATATGCTTTGGCATGCCTGGACTAAGAAGCTTTTAGAAACCTAATTCTTAAGGTTATTGGCTAATATTTGAAAACACAGATAACCCATGAATACCTTGCCCATGATTAGATGTAAACTAAGAGACAATGTACAACAATCAAAACAACA